AAAGAAAGAAAAGAGGAAAAGCAGAAACCAACAAAATAAATAAAGGAGCAAATGCAGCACTTGACTCCAGAGGCCTCCGCCGTGGGAAGAAGCTGTCCCAAAGTGGTGTGTCATCAGCGGCACAAAAACCCAAACAATCGGCCCCTGTGTGCCCGTGCCAGCTGCAGCCCGGCCGGGCCCAGGGCAGGGAACAATGGCCRTGGGGACAATGGGGATTGTTCAGACTCCTCCGGAGGGAGCAGCCCCACGCAGCCCTGGGTGGGGACCCGCGGCTGTCACCAGCTSGGAGCTGCCAGACAAGTGGCACATTTGGGGTGCCCTCCAGAAGGGTGTGTGCCCGATGGGACGCTCACAGGATGCTGGAAAATGCTTGTTAAAAGCAGAGAAAGCCTCTCCTGGTGCTGAGCTGGAGTTTATGAGGTGCATGGAGGGGGAAAATAGGGCCAGGCTGTGCAGGATGCGCCATGGCTGCTCTATCAAAGCTGTTACCTGCACACACACTCACTGCACRGACACATTTCTCCTTTTGACCTTAACTCATCCTGAAGCTGTTGACTCCATCCAGGAGCCATTGAAGCCAAGTCACCCTTCCCAGCCATGTCATCAGGGAAATAATTTCAGCTTTTCCAATGGATGTGGGTAGTTTCTYTATAAAACCTGGACAACGGCATCTGTTTGCCCCTGTCCCCACCCGTTTTTCATCCACCCCTTGGTTCTCTCCCACCCAGGACAGCATCACCCTGGTCTGCTGAAGCCCAGGCAGGGGCACAGCAAAGGCAGGCTGGCAAAAGAAAACAGCTCCTGGGGCAGCAGCAACTTGCTTTGGAGCAGGGATCCCTTTTCCTGAGGGAGCCAGAGGAACGGCAGGGGTCTGTGTGTGTGTGTGTACACTATGGGGCACGGGTCCATCTGCCAGCATTGCTGGGCTATGACTCCAACTGTTTATCTTGAAAGCCAGAGGGTTACATTCTCYAAAGTTTCCAGGGAGAAAACACAGACCCTTCCTTTCAGCTGTGTGCCGGAGGATGTGTAACCTCGACGAATTCCTCGGTTTTGTTTGGCTCGGGYGCGCTGTGCCGGGCGGCATCGCCGGCCAGAGGCTCTCCTGGCTTTGATCTGGGAGCTAGGTGTGCTTCACGACAGGTTAACGGCCATCAGAGCCCRCAGGCTGGAGTCTAGACTCTTCCACCTGCTCTGTACACATCAGCACAGGCTCACACACAGCTCAGTCTGTCCGTGTTCCCGCACAAACAGCCCGTCTCACCGCGGCCCAAAGCAAARCTCCTCAGCAGCTTTCCAAAGTAAGCAAACTCAGCCTCAGCAATGGACACAGCTGCAGTGTGGGTGCAGGGGACAGCCAGCCTGTCCCTGGGCTGCTCCTGCTCTGTTCACAGTCAGGAAACAGAGCTGAAGGTCTCCTTTCCATCACAACAAACATCCCCATGCTGCAGCTCTGTTCCTTCCCTGGAGCTCTGCGAGGGATGGGCATCCCAGGTGCAAAAAACACCACTGTGGGGGAGCTCACAGTGTCAGAGTGGGGAAAAACATGAGAAAAACATGCTGAGGGGCAGCCAGCCAGCTGCCTCATGTTTTGGCTGGCATCTCCTGTTCCTAACACCTAGCACCACCACTCACAATGGAGARGAATCCCAGGGGCAGCATTATCCCAGTCACACCTGCAGTGCAGTCAGTCACAGGAACACAGACAATTTGTCCCTCAGGTTGGTCAATACCAGCTCTCACTCACAGAGCTGCTCCCCATCACCCTGTGCTGCACGGGGCTTCCAGGAGAAATGAATCATCCCCGAGCCAAGCAAACAAAAACAAAATAAAACCCTGTGTTTATAAAGTCCAGGGAAAGGCACAGCTGCAGGGCAGAGCTTTGAGAAAACAAGGCTGCTTCAAAGCACCTGGAGCTGCAGCCGGTGAGCAGCAGGGACAGGAYGGGCCAGCCAAGCTTTGGCCAATGCCGTGTCCTGCAGAGTGTCTGGGGGGATGTGCCCTACAGGCAATGGGGCCACTGCCTGCTCTCCTGTGCCAGGAGGGGGTGATCATAGAGTCAGAGAATCCTGGAATATCCTGAGTGGGAAGGGAGAGCCCCAGGATCACCCAGCCCAGCCCCTGTCCCTGCCCAGACCCCCCAACAGCCCCACCCTGTCCATCCCTGGCAGCGCTGTCCAAACGCTCCTGGAGCTCTGGCAGCCTCGGGGCYGGGACCATTCCCTGGGGAGCCTGGGCAGTGCCAGCACCCTCTGGGGACASAAGAACCTTTCCCTGAGATCCATCCTAACCCTCCCCTGACACATATTCGTGCCATTCCCTCAGGAATTGTCACTGGTCAGGAGAGATCAGTGCCTGCACCTCCACTGGTSCCTGTGAGGAAGCTGCAGAATGTGACACCATTTCCCCTCAGCCTCCTCCTCTCTAGGCTGAACAAACCAAGTGACCCCAGCTGCTCTTCATATGGCTTCTGCCTTCTTCACCATCTTTGTGTCCCTCCTTTGGACACTCTCCAGTGGCTTYAGATCCTTCTTGTACTGTGGCACTCAAAGCTGCACATYGGTCACAGTCACTCTGCATCAGTGGCTCCAAACAGAGATTTGGGGGGTTTTCACCCCCCAGAAGTGTACACACTGTGTCCTGGCAGCACATGGATTGGGCACCTCAGTCTGACACCAGTCTGGGCACCACCACGTTGGCATTCCAAGGCTTTTGCTGTTTTTTTTAGAAGCTCCAACCAGGCAAATGCAAAGTCTTCATCTGAATGCAGCAAATCCCGGTCATCTCCTTCATCTCCACAACCAAACTCGGTGGCCACCAAAGGGCAAAGGGATGGTGAAGACACAGCATCAGCACTGGGCACTCAGATTTTAATACATGGTAGTGCCATAGTCCCTCCTTGGTCTTCATGGTCAGTGTGGTACAAGCCCAAGTGACACCGAGGCCACAGACCAGAGCCCTCAGGGTCACTCTCCTCTCTCTCTCCATCAGAAAAAGGGATTCAGCATAAAAATTAAGAGCTCAGGCAATCTGCAATGCTTTGGAACTTGTCTCACAGGCTGYAATGTGACAGCAAAGTTTTCTGTGAACTCCAGCAGGATTCTGATCAGGAACTGGAGTCCTTCCCAATGCACATCAGTGTGGCTCAGATGAAGAGACATAACCAAAGAGGGGGAAAAATAAAAAAAAAAAATAAAAGAGCAGTTTGGAGGGAATAATCAGAATTATTTGCATGGGCGCAAATCAGGCAAACAGGTTTAGCTCAAGAAGGAAAAGGTCTCTGGCTGAACTTCCTCCACATCAAATCCTGTCACTTTGTTTGGTTTCAAAACTATTTTTATTTTGAAACTCACCTCTTGTTTGTTTGATTTAAAGTTAAAGGGTTAACTAACCTGAAAAACTAAACAGAACTATTTGCTTTGGGCTGACTAAACCGATTCATTCAACCCACACTCTTCCCTCTCCAGATTTGTTGTTTTGYTTTAAAAAGGAAAACGCAATAGCTTTGAGCTGATCTGATTTTTGTATTTTTGTCCCCTCTCACCCTGTTGCACTTTTTGGTTTGGCTACCAGGCTGAGAAATCCATTACCCACAGGGAGCCCGGGCCAGCCTAACCCACATCTGACAGTAAAAGAAACCAGATTCTCCATGTCTTTTTAGCCCCTGGCTTTCTTCTTGGGCTTTCCCACACGCTTCCAGCTCCCCCTGGGTCCAGTGGCTACGCTGGGTGTTGAGGAGGGACAGGACCCTGAGCGAGAGGCTGCACTTTTCCCTCCTTTCCACTCACCCAGCTCTCGGGATCCCTGATCTCAGGTCCCATATCAACAATGCCCTCCCCAGATCTAAAACCCCACGGGCGCCCGAACAGAGGTGAAGCCGTGTCAGGAAGAAACACCAAAGAGGCAGCGAAGATGGACTTAATCTGAATCTTTAATGCACAGAACAAGCTGCCGGGAGCCTTGTGAACCAAGGCTGTGCACGGAGCCCCCCGGCCACCCGGAGCGGTACAAAAGCCCAGCTTGCCTGCAGCGTCCCGGCCACCGCCTGCCTGTCCCTCCACGCCGGCAGCGCGGCGTCACCGGCCACCCGCGCCACCTCCGCCGGCCTCCTCGGCCACCACGGCCCCGGGGCCCCTCRCCATCGCCCCACAGCTCCTGCCCAGCGCAGGGCAGGCAGGGAGGGGGTCACCCTGCACCCAGCAGCTCCCCTCTGCCTGGCCCTGGCCTCCAGTGGGTATGTCCTCCTCCCAGGGTTTTGGAGCGTGTAGTCCAGGAAATTCAGTAAGAAAAGATTAAAAAGGAGAGGCTTTTATGCTGAGTCAAATTAGGTAATTTCTTTTTTTTTTTTTTTTTTTTTTTTTTTTCACTCTTGAAAAATTAAAAAAAAAAAAAAAGGAAAAGAAATTAAAATCCAACTTGCTCATTTCCTGTTTCTCTGCCGCCTGTGTGAGAAAGTCCTGTTTGGCCTCGCTGTCCCCTTCCACCCCCTCTGAACATCACCCGACCCCAAACCCCACCAGCCACTCAGCACATCACGAGTCCTCGACTCCTCGGAGTCCCTTTGCCTCCCACAGCTCCAGGCCCGCTCCTTCCCTCACCGCCCCTTGGACTCCCCGTAGGTGTTGCGCAGCATGGAGACCATCTTCTCCTCGCAGGTGACTTTGGTGTCCTTTAGGATGCTGTACCAGACCATGCCGGGCGGCCGGACCTCCTCGCTGCGGCACAACAGGTAGGGCATGGTCTCGGTGCGGCTCTGGATGTAGGCACTGCGCAGCAGCGTCGAGCAGTGGCTGCTGACCTTCTCCAGCCTCCTCAGGATCAGGTGAGCCTTCCTGCAGGGGACACAGATGGAACAGAGCAGCGTGGGCAAGGCAAAGGACTGACCAGGCATCAGGATTTCTGTGTTCCGCTACCAGCTCTGTCTGGTGACAAGAGCGGACGAGACCCACTGGCTAAGGTATCGTTTTTCCTGTTTCAAATGCAGACAAACTCTGTTTTCCCCAAAGTTCTGGGTATGTCCACCATGTCACAGCAGCAGGACCTCAGGTCTGACCCACTGGAGCAGACTGTGTGGCCTAGGGACAGTCTGCCCCTGGCTAGATGGTCACCACCACCACCACCACCACCACCACATAATCCAGACATGTGCTGGCCCCACCTGGCACCCTGGTGAGACCCCTAAGCACCTTCCTGATCAGCCCAGCCCTCCCTTTCCTGATTTCCCAAGTCTGCAGGAGGCAAATGGCCCAAAAGGACTGACACTGGAAGAGTGAGAAAAAAAGCACAGCATATTAAGTCAAAACAAAATAAACCCRTAAGAAACCAAGAATCCCCTTGTGGGAGGCTGCAAAGTGCTAAATCAAACAAAGGGAGGCAAGAGGGTTTACTTCAGTGGTCTGAAAGTCTCAAGATCACAGATTATTTCCTCTCCCTCTGGTGCCACAGGAAAGCCCTGGATTCAGGAGTYGGGGATTTCACAGTTCCTGCAGGAATGTAAATTCCTGATAATGATATGTCAGGGGCAGCACTGTCAGTCAGCAAGGCATAAACATGGGGATTATTTGATTAGGAAAGCCGAGTGGTGTTGCAGCTCGGGCTGTGAGCTCGGGGGGAGCGTCGGGAGCCTGATGTCCGGGGACTGGACACCAGGGAAGGGCTGGTCAGGGTCACCTCAGTGCCAGAGCAGRGGGCAGAGATGGTGGCAGGAGGGGAGAGGGCATCCTGGCACCCCCACCAGCTTGGACATTCCCCTCCACTGCGGGAATATTGGATAAAAGGCTGTAGGAAACCACTGCTCCTCCAGGGCTGTGCATGCAAAAATGTCCCACAGCTCCCAGGGGTGAGGAGCTCTGGGTCAGCTCCGAGGGCAAAATCAGAGCAAAGGAAGTTGGCCCTTCTTGGACAGCATTCCATGAAATCCATGGCTGGATTGAATCCACACAGACAAGCCAGGCTGGGCAATCTGAGCCTCRTTAGCCACACACATCTGTAATAATGATGTCAGGGGCTGAGCTGTGCCCAGCTCTGACACAACACCTCTACTCACCTGACCTGCTACAGCATCTGGTGCTCCCACCACACACCAMGGGCTGACACACTGCCAGGAACAGGTCCTGTGCTGCTGGATGTGTGCCTTTGGAGTTCCAAATTCCATGATGGCATTAGGTGCTTTTGGTGAAGACTGATTTGTTAAAGCTCAGCACAGCAGCGCACCAAAATCTGTAGTGACTGCTGCCAAACTTCAACAAACCACAGTCACTGCAGCTGCAAGGTACCAAAAGCCATCACCAGTGCCACTTCCTGCTGGGATCAACCTKCCTGGATGAATTTCTGTCTGACCTGTTCCTAGAGCCAGGAGCTGGTGATCCTTCCAGTGCTCCCCATCCCAACTGGGAGATTGTTTCTAAACATCTGCATTGATTCTCCTTTCCAGGGAAGGCTGAACAAGAACAGGACCCACATCACCTCAYGGCATGGATTTTTATGTGAGCTGAYCATGCTCRGGAGGAGATCACTCAGCCAGAATACCCTCACAAAGGAGAGCTCTCATCTCTCTTAAGGCCACAGCTCCATGATCATCCTGATTTGTCACAAAGCAGCTCCCAAAGGGGGTAYTGGCCCTTCCCCAGCCCTTCAGCTTGTGCTTGTGCTGGTGTTCACAGGCCTGAACTCTGTGCCCACCTGGGGAAGTTGTATATTCAAAGGCCTAAAGAGCAACCATTGGATTTCCCCCCACAYTTGCTACTATTCCAAGTAACACAAAGGCTCTCCCAGTCACAGCCAGAGAGGAGCAACGAGGATTGGCCATGAGCACTGGAGTGGGTGACCAACAGCACCACAGGGAGTGGATGTCCCAGCTGGCCAGTGGCTGCCTGCTGGCCACGCTCTGCCCTTCCTCTGCTCCCTTCTCACCACTTCCCCTCTCGTCCCCTCCACAGCTTTCCTTTCCTCACCCACCTCTCCCTTTTCTCCCACACAGCCTGCCTTTGCCTCCCTTTCCCTGGGCCTTCTCTACCCTCCCATTTTCACTGCTTGTTCCACCACACTTTGATGATCTCCYGGATTTTGCTGGAACTCACCATGTCATCCTCTCTTCCCGACACATACTCAGGTCTCTGATCCAGGCAAATATTCCCATATGTGAGAAGCAGCTCAAGGATGGCAAGAAGGAGTGAAACCACCCCAAACTGGTGACTCCTGCTCTGCCAGAGGCTGTGCTGCTCCCAGAGCTGTCTGCACACACCTGCTGCATCCACAGCTCACCCRGTGCAGCCAATCCCAGGAAAACCCCGTGTTTAAAGGATGGGATGTGGTACACGATGGGTTGGCCCTATGAGAGCACTGAAAACACACTGAAGTGTGGCCACAGAGGAGACAGGGTGATGGGGACAGGGAGCCAGGCCCCTCGCTTTCAATGTCCGGTGCCAAAGCTCCAATTTTGATGGGTTTCACCGCTTGGAGTAATTTATTTTAGCAGGGTAATGAAGTCATGTGTAAATGTTAGATTTAGCTTTCGGCTGTCAGCTGTTCCCTCTTATTAAAAAAAAAAAAAATAAGGAGGAAGAGAGACAGAGCGGGTGAGGGGAGGGGTGAGAAAGAGAGAGAGGCTTTCTGGTGAAGCTTGGGTAATAAATTACAGGAGCAGTTCTTGGGCTGCCAATTTAACACCGTAAATCAAGCCCTGGGTATTACCCAAGTGCTCCCCAYGGAGGGCTGTCGGGTCAGAACGACCACCTTTTCAAATACTGGAAATGAAATCTTCCTAAATGCTGACCAACCTCATCYCTGCCAGAAATGGCAATTTATTGCCTTATTAAAGGGCAGGGATTGGGAGGGGACGGCAGGGGAGTGAGAGGGGAGTCCTTCTCCTGGCTGCCTGTGGCCAGACCCCAAGCTTTCAGTCCCCAAAGGGATGAAGTGACCCCCTTCCCTGTCACCCTACAGCACAGATGGGGGTGCCCCCACGTTGGTGTGGCCACTGTGTGCCCACTGCAGGAGCCAGGGACTCATTCTGGGCTCCACCTAGGTGGTGGATTTAAGAGGYCACAGCACAGTCACAAATGATGAAGAGGGGGATTTAAAAATAGTGACAGCTCTAAGCAGCCACTTCCCTGTGCGGTGCCTCATGGCACAGAGGGGAGAGGAAAGGGAGGGGTGGTGTCTGCTGCCAGGGCACTTTCCAAGGGCTCCTGCAGTGCTCCCAGTACGGGAGGGGGGTGCAGTGAGGGTCCTGCACAGGGGACAGGACACCAGGGTCCCCACTGCCAGGGGACCCAGCTCTGCCCAAGGGAATGCCCAAGAGGAGGAGCCTCTGCTGTGCCCAGAGCCAGGGGTGCTCCTGATGGGGTGTTTGTCCCCCATCTGCACAGGGGACAGCGATTCCTCACCTTGAGGGCTGATGTGGGATGATAAAAACACATCCAGAGCCTGCCAAACCCTGCCCTGCCTCACCTCGGAGGGAGACACTAAAAGAGAGAGCAGCAGCATGAAGGAGCCAATWAAAAATGATACCTGGGCTGGAAGGAAGGATGAGATTGCTGGGACTGGAGAGAGAGGGTGGCTGCCTGGCTGCTGTGTTCCTGTGTTAGATGATTTTGTCATAAATTCAGATTTTTCCACTCTACYGAGAACTGACCTGGGTCTTTCAGACCCTCGTGTGGGAGAACAATGAGTCCAGGACTCGATGGCCTCTTATCACAGCCTCCCATCAGAACATTACATTCCCCCTTGTACCAGAAGCCAGCTGCTCTGGTGATGCACTTCATGTCCCTTGGCCAGCTCGCCTGCCTGGGTGACCGGCTGGACAGGGGACAGGTTGTGAGCCCTGGGCTGATGCCACCTACTGACCCCAGTGTTGCCAGTAGCCACAAGCACGGGCATGGAAATAAGATTTTAACTTAATTATTTGTCCTGCCTCTTCMTAAAAGCCAGACCCCTGCTTGCAGTGGTCATAAGAAAACACAAGAGAGAAAATAACAGTGAAATCTCCCGATGGCTGTGTCAGGAAGCACACTGGCTGCACCGACCCAAAAGTCTGGATGCACAGTAGCACTAAACCTTCACTGCTTTAGACAGATTCCTCTGTCTTGTTGGAACAAATTAACTGTGTGAGATGCACTCGGTGTCTGTGAGAGGAATGGGGGAGCAGCAAAGGGGCTGTGGCTGCTYGAGGAGACGAGAGGGATGAGGCAAGCCAGGTGCTGAGATGCTGCTGACCATGGAACGTCCTGGTTTAGGGCCACCTATGAGCTAAGYTTTTAATGTCTCCTTAATGTAAACGGTCTGGTTGGGACATCTGGCTGTCAGTGAGCCTCCCTGCCAGCAGCTGTTCGCAGTAACCTGTGGCTTTCATGGAAACTGGGCTCACGAGGAGCTCGCTGTGATGTATTTATTACACGGAGGCCATCGCCTCCCCTCTTGTCGCTCCRTTTTATGAGCCAACGTTTACTGCAAAGCCCAGGCTCGCCTGATAAGCATTTCAAGGTACAGAAATGAACGTCCCCTTGGGACAGGAACAGCCTGTCAATTAAAATCCTGTTATGAGATGGCCTCCCTTGGCAAAAAAAAAAAAAAAAAAAAAAGAAAAAAAATTCCTTATTGCCTCCTGCTCTGACAGTGCCTCTGCTTCTGTCCAAGGTGGGATGGCAGAGCTTCACTCCTGTCACAAGCCTGGCACTGGCTGCCTTGGCTTTTACAGATTTGTCCCCTTGGCTGCAAGTCACACGTTTCTCAAGTACAYAACAGGGGCAGAGGAGGGCTCTGAGGAGCTCCCCTGGCTCAGTGAGGACGAGAGGCAGCAGCCAAATCGACCACGAGCTCCAGATGTAGCCAGGTCCTGTATCTGGCAGTTTAAATGTCACCCTGCTGTCCCAAGGCTCGATGCAGGTATCGGGTTTTAAAGCATCCTTCAGCGGGTTGGATCTCAAGTAACAGGGGTAATAAGGATCTGTAAGAAGAGGCTGATGGTTCCCAGGGATTCAGAGCAAAAAGGAGCAATTGCAAAGGACAAGCAAGCCTGCAGTGTCATCAAAGGAGAGGGAAGGCTCTGTGCCAGAGGCCAATGAATTACCAAAGAAACTATGAYCAAGGTCATCTCTGGGGGAGGACAAACCCCAGGCCAGCTTGGATTTACATCCAGGAGAGGTGCAAACAGTTGTGAGCTGTCATGCTGGTGCTGTGGAGAGATCCCCAGATAGCAGATAGGAACAGGGGAAGAAGGAAAAGCTTTTCCAGGTCCAAATTACACCCTTGGCCCCCCCAGCCCCCCGTGTTTCCAATCTCCCATTTCATTCGAAGCATCACCCATGTGGTTCAGGCTGGGAGATACAAACATTCATCCAAACCCCTCCAGCTGCCAGGAATCCCACCCAGCATCATCCATGGACCTAAGGGTGTGAGGGGATGCAGGACAGCTTGGGGAACACCMAAAAGGGACTTTCTTAAATACAAGGACAAGGCAAGGGGGTGACATCCACAGTGGGTAAGCAGAGGGTTGCTCTGGACATGGGGCAGGACACAGGGAAGGGACAGGTACCTGGGCCCCAGCTCGTCCTCACTGCGCCACACAAAGTCTCCAAACTTCTCGTAGTGGGAGTTGTAGTGGTGCTGCACTCGGAAGAGCATGGAAGCAGAGACCTCCATGAGGGTGTTGTAGGCTGTCTGCTGCTCCTTGCCGCTGGTGTAGCCGTTGTAGAGGTTGTAGATTTTGTCAGCTATCTCTGGAAAGGATCAGGGCGTGGCATTAATGACCTGCCTGGAGRTGCTAACACGGGAAGGGGAGGAGCAGAGCCCTTGGCAGGGTGGGCAGCTGGGATGGCAGCAGGGTTTGGTGGCCTGGAGAGCATTGAGCATTTCCTCAGGCTGATCCTGCAGGAGCAAATCAGCTCCACAGACTCCAGGGATGTTCCATTAAGTAGCAGGAGGAGGAGAGACAGAAAGCTGCAGGAAAACAGCCACAGCCTTGTCCTCCCTGGCAGCCAAGCTCTTCCCAAATCCACCAAACCAAAAGCCATTCTCAGCTCTGGTGCTAAAGGGTAGGAAGAAATCAACACTGCTGATGCCAGAACAGTCCTTCATTAAGAAATGCAGCCCCTCATCACTGTGGGCATCGGCTGGAGCAGCTCAGGTGAGTTAAACAAGAGTGTTCACTCTCTGCTGTAGAAAAAAATATCTTTTGGAGACGAAAAATGCATAAACCCACATCTCCTTCCTTCCCCTTATTCTCCTGTTCTCTGTTTTTTCATKGGAATGCTTATCTTATCAAACATGGAACTAAGCACTGACCAAAACTTTCTTCTGTGTGATTTTCCAATGGAAAACAACAAAGAGGACAGGTAACATGATGGTCACTTAAAGGAGTCCTCTCAACCCTGAAAGCAGCCAAGTGCTCTGGGTTGGGTGTAAGAACAAGGGGGATCAGTTTCAAAACTGGACAATGCAAATGTGCAAAAGTAGTAGCGTTTTTATCAACATTTCTGCTTCTAAACTGGTCCAGCTGCCATCAGCGTCCCTTCAAACACCCAGAGCCACTGGTGCCCTGCACGGCCCAGCCAGGGCAGCCTCTCTCAGGTTTGTGAGAGGGGATTGATTGCTCTTTTTCCATGGGATCAGTGTCAGACACACAGTGCCAGCCCCACAGCTGTGCACAGTAAGGATGCCCATGTGGCATCACAGAGCTGCCCAGCTCCTTCAATGTGTCACCCTGTGCCAGCTGAGCATCCCTGTGCCCGTGGGTGAATTTACAGGAGCCTTCCCTTGGGGAGAGAAGGGCCTGGGCAGGTTTGTGGGAGCCCAGTGAAGAGAGGAAAACCAAAATCAGCAGGAAACATCTCCTGGAGCACACAATGAGGCACCTGGGCACTGACCTTCTGCCTTGCTGTCATCTACCAGTGGGCAGGCTGTCCTCAGGGTGACCGTGCTGAGCTCTGAGTGTCTCCCTCGKGTGTCCACTGCATACAGGGTGAATCTGGAAGGCAGGAAGCAAAAGGAAAACAATGTCTTGATCCCTCAGTCCCACACCACCAGGTTGTTACAGGGGCTGGCCTTCAGAAGAGAAAGGAAACGGTGGTATAGGCATTATTGGTGAGTTTTGGCATCTCTTGGAACAGAGGAGAACCCAGGGCCAGGAGCCAGGGCTGAGGGGACAGATCACTTCATCCCTTTGTGGAATCTGCAGGGCTCCATTTCCTCTCCCCCCATCCCAGAGACCCCAGGGGCTGTACCCTGAATCCCCCTGAGTGTGGAGGGATGCAAACACCTCAGGGCTGCTTTGCCATGCACTGATGTGACCRTTATAACACAATATTTGTCAGCCGAGCTCCCTTCTGGGATCAGGGCAGTAATTCCTGCCGTAAGTGGGCTCTGTGCTGACAAGTGACAGCTCATACTCATCCTGTGAACGGCCCTTGAGTTGTTWGCTCCCTCATTTCCTCACAGGGGCGGGGTTGGTAAAAGGATGGGAATGATAATTTCACACTTGARGCTAATGGAGAGCATCTGACAGTAAAATACAGCTTTTGTGCCGGATGGGGCATTGAACAAACAGGCTGTGGCTGCATCAACATCCCGGGATGCTGAGCTCAGAGTCCTGCTCCGAGCATCAAAGCTCCAAAATGAGAATGCCTCATCGCAGCAGGGGTGACAATCTTCTGTCCACTCTCCCCARAGGGCATCCGTTCACATTTATTCACCCTGAGCCGGGCATGGCYACTCGAGCTGGCTTTGACAAAGTGCAGGGGCTGGTTTGAACCCCTCGRAGGCCTGAGATGCCTGGTGGTGGGGTACCCAGCCTGAGAAATAACACACCACCCCTCCTCARCCGAAGGGAAAACTGAGCAGCTCTTGCAAGTGAGTGCAAGGAGYCCCATAAAAGCAGCTGAAGCTTAAAGGGGATTGAGACCCTGAACTGTGTTTATTTAAGGACTGGTCCTAAACCCTTAGCATCCTCAGGGAGGGGACAGAAGCAGAGCCTCCCTTTTCCTTATCCCACACACGGGCTCTGTGTGCCCCCCTCTCCTCCCTGCACATCCCACATCTGGCTGATAAGAGCTGACATTTGCACGGTAGCAATTCCCAGCACAGGATGGATCCCTCCAAGCAATTGGCTCCCTAACAATGCTGGCTGTCTGAAAGGATGCCAGCAGGCTGCCAAGGAGCCCACTTGTGTGCAGGGACAGCTCCCGTCTCCACAGAGCTGGGGGGTGCAGGGAACACCCAGCTTGCCCAAGGAGATGCTGTTTAATCCTTYTGGCACTACATAATTTTCTTTAATTTAYCASGAGTGCKGCTCAGAGCAGGAGCATCTCCAGGAGGACATCCCCCCTGTGCCATTTCACAAGCACYACAGCAGGGACAGACAGAGYAATGGGGCAACACCAAACCCYGTGCAYRAGTCTGACTGCAGGGCTTTRCATCCCATCCCAAAGGTGCCAYCATCCCTTTGCCTCCCTCCAGCACCACCAGGAGCACCCAGCACTGAGCAGGGGGACTCCAGCCCCAGCAGATGAGGAGCTGAATCAGGAGAACAGGGCAGAGACCCCAGGGCTCCTGCTGCCCACCCAGTGCAGGGCTCTTCTTGCTCATCAGAAGCAGTAAGAGGGTTTAACATCAGGGTCCTGCTGGGAGCTGCTCCCCATCCCCATCCTGGGGTCACCTGCCGAGCCACAGCAGCTGTGCTGTTGTGTTTGTTTGTGTGAAAGGGTGAGCAGGGCTAATGTGTAACCTCTGCTCTGCCTGCAGCAGCTCAGGCAATCAGTGCCAGAGCTCTTCCCTTGAAAAACACAAGACTTTTATCCAAACACAATTGTAATATTCAGCAATTAGTGCCCATTTCACCTGTCCCATCGCCAGTGGGGTCAGGAGGATTGGTTGGGTGTTGAAGCTCACCCACCCCTTTGGGTGATGCCCTGTGTGAGCCTTTTCACTGCACTTCTCCCCTCTGCCCARCTCACACAGCAGCAAAGTCACTCTGCTGCCAAGAGCAAGAGCACCTCTCCTGGTCAGGCCTGGGTTAAAAAATAGATGTCAAAAAACAACCCCTCATTTCATCTTTTTTTTGGATGATGTAAGGAAAAAAAAAAACAAAACAATGTAAATGGAAAAAAAAAACCAAAAAACCATCAGTATCAAAGTGGTTTTGATCTTGTCAAAAATKCTTTTTTTTTGAGAACAAACCCAACTGCTTTACCTCACCTGGAGCCAATCCTCTTTCAAGAACCTTGGAGAAAACTCTTTCATCTCCATTCCCTGTGAATGAGATGTTTTGGACTCRGCACCAATCACCCCAGCTGTGGTGGAGGCTGGCACACAGCCTCTGYACCTCTCCAGCTCCCTCCAGTCAGTGACCTCAGAAGGTTTTAACATTAATTACAGTCCAAAAGATCACCCTGAAGCACAGCAGTATTAATAGCTCTGTTTTATCGACGGTAAACAGAGACATATGGGGTGAAGCATCATGCCTCTGAGAGGCTCAGTGACATGAACAGTTTGGAAACTCGGGAGATGATGGTTTCCAAYCTTGTTCTCAAACCACTTGACCACCCAGCCTCTGCAGCAAAACACATTTATGGCCAGTTAATGGCACTGTGCAAAGTGATGGGGTTTAGGTTTTTTATTTTATTCCCGGAACTGGACAATTAAGAGAAGGGAGAGCAAAGACCTGTGTCTCTGTGTCTCTGTGTCTCTGTGCCTCTGTGTCTCTGTGTCTCAGTGCAAACCCAGCACACACATCTTGCTGGAAACCTTCAGCAGATGCAGGCAAGGAACACCTTGGGACCCAATGGGACATCAAGGGGTTGTCCAGTGGGAAGAGAGACCACCACTGCATGGGGAGGAGGGGGATGTGGCTTTAAGCTGAAGGGGGGGTTGTATTTTGGTTTGGATTGGGCATTAGGAAGGAATTCATTACAATAAAGGGTGGTGAGATCACCAAAAGAGATTGTGGACATCCCATATCTGGAAGTRTCCAAGGCCAGGTTGGACAGGGCTTGGAGCATCCTGGGACAGTGGAAAGTGTCCCCTGCTCATGGTAGAGGGTTGGAATGGGATGAGTTTTAAGGTCCTTTCCAACCCAAACCATTCCACGATTCTGCATCTGCATTACAAACGGGGGGAAAATGGAAGAGGTCACGCTGAGGGAGGGAGCTGAGCTGAGCACATGGTGGGATTTTGCAGCATTCCATGGAGATCCTCCTGTCCCACTTAAATTCATTATAACATCGTGGGCCAAGGACCAAGCCAGGCATTGTCCCCACTGATGAGGATGGAGCTGCACTTGCACAGACCAACCCTGACAATTTGTAAAAAAATGAGGCCAAAGAACGGTTCAGAGCGCTTTGCCCAAGGCAGAGATCTCCAGGGTGAAGTCAAGCCAGAAACACAAAGGTCCCAGACCTAGAGTCAATGCACAAAGCCACATCAGACAACCTGGAATGCCATATGGTAGCTATGATCTGGCAGAGGCTCCTCAGTAACCTGGAGGTGTTTTGTTTAGTGGCAAACTTCCCTCACGACATTTCCTCATTTCTCCCTGTGCTTTCCAAAGGAGCTCTGGGCTCCCTGCWGCTGTCCCACAGCTGATCCTCTTTYTCACTCACACCTTCAGTAAGATCATACAYCAAGACTTGTATTTCTAGAAAAACTGGGATATATTTCACCTGAAGAGGTTCCAAAGTAGTCCAAACACAGATGCTTTTGGCAGKGAAATGTTGCCACCTCTGCAGCAAATCACACCATACAAAGTCCCATAAAGTAATACTGGTTAAATGTTTATTGCTAAAGTCAAACCTATTGGGTACTGAAGAAACTTTCAGGGAGAGAGAGATAGAAACCAATTAATGTTCATCCTCATGAAATGTCAACCCCTTCCTTGCAGATTCCCATCCAATGTTGGGTGAAGGCTGGGTTTTATCACTAGGCTGAAAATGCTTCTTGGGGAAGGAAGAGAAAGAAAGAATGGCATGGTAAAGCTTCAGTTCCTGGAACCCAATGATTGCAGAAATCACCCATAGCGTTTCAAGAAATATAAACCCCAGGCAAATATGTTTCTGTCCTTTCTCAATGAAGAGAAGATAACCCAAAACCACAAATCTATAAAGGCACAAAACTCTTAAGATGAGAATGAAAGCTCAAAATATGTTACTTATTTATAGACAACATGTTTTTTTAACTCCCTCTCATGATGCTGATGATGTTTAAGTGCTTTACTTGTGATCCTTATTTGCGGGAAACGAGATAAGGACTTCTGAGTCTGACCTTCCTTAGCTCGGCAGCTGATTTCTTTCTATCCTACAGAGATACCACAGGCATTTCTGATCTGCCATGTCTTCCTAAGGCCTTTGGGCTGGTGCAGCTGCTCAGTGAGATGCTGTAGCACCCAGGGGCTGCCTGGGCTGCAGAGAAAGGCTCTGATAAGGAGCCCAGTTAGCACTCCTGAAGAAACCAAACTCCATGCTAGTTAAGAGTGTGCCAATGGGAGCTGGCTGCCTCACACAGTGGCTGCGTGGCCATCCCAGGCTCTGAGAGGAGCCCCTGGCCTGTGTGCGTGGGGACAGGGCAGAAATGCTGCTCCAGAGCCCAGTGCCACGCAAAAACACAACCTCAAGCTTTCCAACGTGGTGCAGCCACAAGATGCTCCTGGCAGCAGGGCTGGGTTTGAGCCTGGCTGATGTGCCTGGGCTCGGTGCCGCGCTCCTGCAGCCACCAGGCTCTTGCTGTTCATTCCAGCAGCTCGGCGAGGGCAGCCCTGGCCGGCATCCCATGCTCAGTGCAATGGATTCCCCCTCCCCTGGCAGCGTGGCCACGCTGAGCCTGGAAACACAAACCCCGACTGGGCCGAGGTGTTCCGTGCACGTCCCTCCATCGCTCCCCGCCTGCCATAACCCCTCCGTGCCTCCCGCACCGCCCGGGCTCGCACGCACCCAGCCCAGGCTGCTGCAGCTGCTGACACGAGCTCATCACACCCTGCCC